CTATTTCTTTGTTGTGAAAAAAGCTACACACAAAGAAGAAAATGACACGAGGGTAAAAATGACAAGGAAAACTTATCCTACCAGCTACAATGTCGATGCCGCGCAGCGGCAACAACGTAAGCAGAAACCCGGACAGGAAAAAAGCAGGCGATCCAGGCACAGATGCTAGACTTGGTCTCCACTTTATGCGGAGAAAAAGCAGAGTGAGTATCCAGCCCTAATGGCGCCGCCATATGGGCTCGGTCATGTGGTTCCTGACGTAAGGGAAACAAATCTTGGGGTCATGGGGCTTCCCCTGACCTAGATTCTATCTCTCCGTCATTGGCAGAATCGCTGATTAATGCCTACAGTTCAAAATAGTCATTTAGTCAAAAGAGCAATCAATGATGTTACTCCACTACAGACACACTATAAACCTAACAAAATTAGAACCTCACCATCATCAATCTTCTACAACAGCAATCGATAATTCAGTGAGTTCATATAATCTAGAGAAGTAAAAAAAAGTGAAAAAAAAAGAACATTTAGCCCAATATAAGCAGAGGTTGTAGCATATGTGCTCCCATTGGCTGTTAGATTTAATTAAAAAAGATATTTGTGTCTTTTTAGTACGAAAAAATATTACTTAATAAATTTATACCAGCCAGAAAGAAATTGCAGTTCACACTGTACTATTTTAAACATGTTCTACTAAAGTCGAGGATGAACTAATTCACCAGTCTGTTTCCACTCTACAAAGTTGTCAAATTAATATTTACGGGATTCTGCAAAAATAAAATATTAAGAATGTGCAAAAAGCCAGAGTACTTGTGTTTTCAATGTCATTAAAATCTGACCAGGAATATGCCGAAATTTTCACTTGAGCTGAACCAAATGGATGCCAAGCAATCAAAAGAATTTAAAAAAAAAGCTATTGAGAAAAATACAAAAAAAAAATACATTTAATATAAAAGCAGATAGAAGTGCATAAAAAACTAATCAGCAGAGGTAGTGATCATGTAACCTAAGTGTATACTAGTATCAAATTTCCTTTGAACTGGATTGCATTGTCTCAGATTGGCTGCTAATTTGCATATTAATTTGCATACTAATTAACATATTGTAGTTGTATTAAAATAATATACAAAATAATATCCGGAGTTTTGAAAAAAAATTATGACTATTAAGTCAACATCATTAAAATTGAGGATTACGTGAATTTGACCCCTCCCTAATATTGTTTCACATATCCCTTAAAAAAAATGGTCGCCGTTAAATCCATCTCAATCGAGGTCCGTAATTTATTTTCCTGCTCATAATAGAGATAAATTATGGTTGCTAAACATTGAAATTGCCACCCTGACTTCAGTACCGAAATAAATAGCTGATTGGGGAAATGTGTCTCTGTTGACAGAGGTTCGATTTACCGATAGATAAACTTCAACACCGCATGGAGCATGGAGGTCCCGGTCACGAGTGTAGTAACGCACTCGGGTATCATATTTACTTCAAAGGTAATTTAAAAGTGATGATAGATTCATTGATATTGAATTACAGTACTTTTCAATTTCATCATTGCTTTCAAGCAGTCACGGTTGGCCGAACTTGACTTGTGTTTTCTCGATAATTCTAGTCTAATATGTCGTCACGAAACCAAGTTTCAATCTGCTACAGTTGCCAATGAACACCGGAAATAGCAATCGTACATAACAGAGTCACGATCAGCGTGTTCTAAACTTTTATCAGCGTGTTCCAAACTTTTACGTTTTTATTATTCCAGTATTTTATATGCCAAACGTTATTCCCAAGCCTCCTAAATGACGAGATAAACTTTCGATTTACACGTTTCATAACCAGTTCTTAAACTAAGGGTTGGACCATTTGATTTTTGAGGGGGGAGGTCAGAAACGAAAAAAAAAATTGCAAAGTGAAGGGTTCTTCAAAAAAAAAATGCTGCTTCACCAGTGTAAAAAAAAATATTTGTCACTATATGACTTCGGGAAAAAAAATGTTTCCATCAGCTGTTGTCGTGTCATCTCTGAACACGGTAGATTCACTTGAATTACTGTGTCATAAAAATATGGCAATTCTTCCTGCCAAGGTAAGGGGGCACATAGTACAAGAAGAAACTAGGTCATATATAAATGGATGTCAATAATTCTGGTTTGTGGATTAATTAATAGCAGAGGGAAAATTAATATCTGCATTTCAATATTATTTTCAAAAACAATTTCACTCTGGTTGCATTTAGATTGTATACCATACATGCTCTATTAGAGCATCTCCAATAGAAGCACATGTACGGCAACAATTGCATTGATTGTATACTGATTGATTAAAATATGATGTATTTTGACCATAGAAACACCTCTATTATTTACACAAGAGCATGCGCTACTAATAGAGCAAATGCGGTATTGCATGCAACATCTCTGACAATTTAGCTGTTTTAGTTTAATACATACATTTACAGACTAAAACAGAAACATTGTTAGAAAAGTTGCTTGCAATTTTGCTGACTACTGTAAAATACTTTATTTTCTCAGGAATTTATTTTCGCTGAAAACAGCTTTCTGGCCTTTGTATTACCCCTCGCTAGGGCTTTTTTGCTACTAGCAAATGATACATTTTACCACTCGCATATGCCGTTTTTACCACTAGCAGATGGCATATTTTGCTATTTGCGACTCGCAACTTGGTACTCGCATATGGCACTTTTTCTAGGTCGTACATTCCTCCGTTGTGTGGATCTAATTTTCACTATGTTGTATTAAGACTCAATGCAACGTATAGAGAAAGCTGCATTTTCACTGGAATTTATTTTGCAGGAAATTGACTACAGGTAAAACAGGGAAAATAAAATGCCAGTGCAAATAAAGCATTCCACAGTATGTTATGTGACCACAATAATAGACAAGATACATTCATGATTGTATGGAACCATGTCGTATTAAACAAGTACAAATAAACTAAATATCAAAGGAAGCTTAGAAAGAACTCTTCAGTGCTGAGAGTATTGGAGACACATTAAAATTAATTCAAAATTTAAGATTTGCTTTTCAAACAAGAAGCTTGGCAACTATTTTTTGTCTGCTATTTGAGATGCATAATATGAAAAAATGTGATTCACATTATCACAATTTATAATACATACAGAAAATACATTTGATTTTTCGTCCATGGTTTTTATTCTAATTAGTTCCAGAGCACCTCTGCGATGAATTCAATTTAAATCTGATTTTTGTTTAATATCAGAAATGGGCTAATCATAGATAATCAATATGCATTAAACTAATCATGTCTGTGGATTACCTCAATGAATTATTATACAAATTGAGAAATTATTATGTAGAGATTTACTTTAGGTCTGTATATTGTTCCAGGGTGCACATGTACAAAGTTTCATTATAATGTGATGTTTAATCATAACTACATTAATTGAAAGCTGAAAAGTAAATTATTATAGATTTATATTACTATAGATATTATATAATTATTATAGATGTATATAAACCTAAAACTAACTTGATCATCACATTGTGTTAGAGTATATATGTACCAAGATTCATTAAATTAAGATAAGTACTGTCACAGACCATCTATGTACGAAGTTTCATTGAAATGTGATTATAATCAAAAATTATGATTTATTATGCAAATTAAGTAATTAATATGATCTTAACCCAAAACTAATCAGGTCTGTGTATTGTCCTAGAACATCTATGTACCAAAATTCATTGAAAAGAAATGAAGTCATAGTACTGAAATATCAAAGCTAAAAT